AATATATCATCTTTAAGTGCATGAACTAAATTTTTGGTTATATAACAAAATCTAGAAAATTGCATGCAGCAAATAAACCCTCAAAATGACAATTATACCCTCCAGGGTGAAAATTTAGAAGTGGTTCAGGGAAAAAATAAATAGAAGAAAGGGAAGAAATTAGAAGCAAGTCTGGAAGATAAAAATGCATCTCAGAATCTTCGAGAAAGTGATGTAGAAGGAAGAAATAAGAACAAGAACAAGAACAGAACGATAGTGTCAACAAAACTAGAAGCCATGTTCAGAGTCATCTGAAAACAAGAACAAACAATGTGGAAAAACAAACAAAAAACCAAAACCAAAAACAAACAAAAAAATGAGAGAGATAGAACATGTAGACAGAAAAGAAAAAATTTTACAAATAAAAGAAAAAAATGTGTAATTCAAGGGTTTTCTCTACTGCCATTGGTAAAGTATATGAGCAGAGTCCAGATCTGTGTCAGTCAATCCCAGTGAGCCAGCTGCAGCTCCATGGCTGGGTAGAAGATAATCTCAGCAAGCCTGTACCCCTATTTCCACTGAAGTTCAGGCTGACCTCTGAATGGTGTGCTGGACCCAGACCCAGTCAGTCTGCAGCAGTCCCCATTACCCCTTTGAGCTCATGTGGGAACCACTGGATACAGCCAGAAGCCATTCAGAGTCCTTAGCTCAGTTGGTCCCTCTCCAAGATGACTCCAGCCAACTGTCATCTCTTGGGGCACATCTGATCAGGACAACTCACCAGCACTGCACTGCTGTTCATCACACCACTCCACCTGTATGCTTCTCTGCAGGGGTCTCAGTCATAGTCAGCACTCTGGTTACCAGAAGTCACTGAGCAACTGCAATTTCCAATTGTTCCCCACTCCACAGTGAGTCAAGGCTCAGGAAGAATATGCTGCCTCCTTCCTTGATCCCCATGGGTGTCAGTTCTTGCTTCAGATCCTTCCTGGGTCCAAGGGACCCACTTCTTGTTTTCCTCACATTGCTGTATTTCAGTGTTTGCCCACCAGGTCTCAGAGAGGCGCTTTCTCTGCTGCTTACCACTCTGTAATTTTCCTCTGTCATCTTCTGCCTCATTATTTTATATGCATGATGCATTGTTATGAAATCTCAAGCTTATTCATCTTAACTTAACTGGAACTTTACATCTGTTGATGAGTGACTCCTCATGTCCCCTTCCTTCCATTCTCTGGCAGCCACCATCATACCTTTTGCAACTATAAATTGAATATTCACTTCACTTCTATATCTGTACCTTTGATCATTAACCAGGAAATGCCAAATGGCTTTAGAAAAGGCTTGGGTGGTTTGGTTTTTTAATCATTCATTTGCTTCTTCACAAATATTTTTTGAGTACCTGTTCTGTGCCACATAGATGCCAAGGTGCTAGAGAGTCAGTGGACAGCAGAACAGAGGTAGTCCCTACCCTCCTGGAAATTTCTAGTGAGAAAACTCATGATTGGTACAACACTCAAATATGCTGGATATAGTTATATATTGAATCATGTGCTATGATTGTGTAGAAATATAACTGTAAAATTCATCATTTAAAGTGTGCATCTCAGTGAATTTAATTATAGTTATGAAATTGTGCAACCATCACCACTGTCTAATTCCATACTGATCAACTATAACCTGTAAGAGTGTTTTCAGATCATTAATCCAGAGCTTCTCAGCACACGTATTTAAGTGCAATACTGCAAATTATTGAAAAAATACTATTATAAATCAAAGCCCCACTCCTGATTGATTGACTGTTAGTTTAGGCATTGATATTTTGTCTGGGTTTTCTTTTCTCATGTGCTTACCCTACCTGAATAACATCACATCCCTTGGATGCTTTTCCAGCTTCTCCTGATTGCAGTGTTTACAGGCTGTCCTAGAAGTGCTTAAACTGACTACCAAAAATGAGGTAGATTTTAAATGAGTGTAGACTAGTCAACTCAGGTCTTAAAGATCATCCAAAACATGGCCTTCTGATCATAGATTTTAGTCTTATATTCTCCCTCTACTCTTGTGGTCCAATAATGTAAATCTGGAATATAACCAACACTAGCCAAGAGTATACTCTGAATTACAGAAGGACTTTGTGGATTTCTCTTACTAACTAGAATCTCTAGGGTTATTAAGACAGGATTTACTGGACAAACATTTCTAAGGTGACAATATATATTAGGTGCTATGTTGGCATGAAGGTGAGCAAGAAAGAGCTGTTTACTTTCATAATGGGGTTGATTTTTCTCATAGGGTAAAAAACAGGTAGAAAGTTAAAATGCGGTCCTGTAAGAGTGCAGAGTTAGAATAAGGATGATCATAACCCAGGAACAGTGGGTTCATTTTGAAAACCTGGTAGCTCTTAGGCTATCATGAGTTGTTGGAGAAAATGATAAACTTTGCCCCCATTTGTCAAGCTCAGCGTTTCTACCTCAGGGCCTGGAAAACCTGCGTCCACCTATAATAGCTGAGTGAAAACTGCATCAAAATTCCACTGGTGAGAAAATTGCTTGAGCAGGAACTAGGAATGAGACCAAGAAACCAGCCTACCTCTCTGGTAAGAAGCCAAGGCTGGACAAGTGGTGGCTGCCCCAGGGGGAGAACCACCCAGCGGCTCCCAAGATCCATACTATGGTGGAACTTAGGGTACTGGGAAACCAAGCAACCAGCCTGCCTCTCTGGTAAGCAGCCATGAGCCTACTGGTGTGTGGGCTGAGAATCAAGCATCTCATCTTCCCCCTGTCCCCCATGTTAGCAAATGGGAGCCAGAGGTCTGAGCATCTCTTGGGAGACTGACCATAAGCAATATAGCAAATAGGGGGGATTTCCTTCTACCATCTCTTTGAAGGCAAATATTGTTATCACTGTTTTGCTTTGTTTTGATTAATTGTATTGCTTTATTCAATATTCTGTTTTGACAAGTTCTATAATGTTCTGTATTTGGTTTGATTTTGCTATACCTGATTGAAGGAAAAACTATTGTGAAGATAAAGAGATATACTATTGCAGCTATTACTGTTATCCTGGTAACCTGTTGTGATGTTCTGTACAAATTTCACTGCACTGTCTTAATTGGCTATGTTCTGTCTTGTTCTGTTGTATTTTACTACCTTCAAAATAAAAAAATCACTTTAATATAGTTTGGTTTGCTTATAATAATCTCATAATTTCAAATGGGAAGACTTATTCTGAGGAGTGTCTCTCATTTATAATTTGTGAAACTCCTTTCATTCGGGGTAGGATCAGGTAGGGGACTTGGAACTGAACTGTGCCCATCTTATTTGTTCAGATACCTAAACCTACAAAGCTATATATAGTATATATTTAGATAGATCAGAAAGTTGTTATCTCCTAGAAAAGAGGACAATATTAAGAAAAATAGAATTATTTACAAATGAACAATTTAAATTAATGTTTGTTACAGTAAGTAGTGGGTCAAATTAAGAGAACTTTGAATCAACCCTAGCTAATGAAATATACAGCCATGCTAAATATATCTATTGCAAAACTAAAAGACCCACCTTTTCTAGCTAGATACATTTTATTAATAGAAAAATATCAAACATATACTATAATCTCATTTAAAGCCAAGATCTCAAAACTTACTTTTTTCTGCATTTTGAATTTTGATTTATAACAATTCAATCAGAAGAATGATCTATACAAACAACCCAACCACTCAGACTGTTGCTTCATCTAAATTAACATATAAACAAAGGAGTTGATCTCATCTACATCTCTATGACTACTACAAGCAATCTCCATGACTACTACAAGCTCTCTACCCTGCTACCTTGCTACCTATCAATCCACCAACTTCAAGGATGTCTGAGCCACAGCTTTCACCACAGAATCTTAACACAGAATACTGCTTACTCCTGCAATGCTGTCTCCCCATGATTTCCACATCTCCATACCCTCCCTGACATTCAAGACCCTATTGCATGCCTCACATTGTCCAAGAAACATTGTGTGGGCCCAAGCAATGTGCTAAGGTTTTTGGGCACTGTCCCACTGAATTTCTACAGCCATCTAATAGCCATGTATAATTATCCTCACTAAGAGGTTAAAATCTGTCCACATGGCTTCACAATGACAGATATGAGAATGAAGCCCAGGTCTGCATGACTCCAGAGCCTGTGCCCTGAAGCTGTTTCTATATGAGGCCATGCATTGCCCCATTTACTTGGTACCACTCAGTTGGGTCATTTTGTACACTTCCAGAATTCAGCATATAAGGTATTTTCCCACCTCACTGAAGATTATTGAAGGAAGGGGATGATAGCTTGTTCTCCTGTTCTTTATGAGCCACTGGAATAGACTAATAAATAGTGATTGAGTATTTGTTCATCCAACAGGGAAGACATTAGCGGCTGAGTTGGGAGAATAAGAGAAAGGAATTAAGATGCAGTGAATATCAGTCACTTATTTTAATGACATTATTTTATTCAGCTCCATTTCAGTGTTTTCTGATAGGTGCTACACAGCAGCTTCAGTGGAGAGACTTTGTTAGGATTATGGAAAGTGAGTAACTGAATTAATTCTATACCTTAGGTAAGTCATGAAAAAGATATTCCTCACACTTTCTATAGTTATGCCAGATTTCTGTCACACATAATTGGCTTTCCACTTTCAAATCAAATCCACAGTTCAATCTATTTCCAGATGGCAGTGCTTTAGTGCACCCACTATTTATTTTGTGAATGTGCTTTGAGAAATGTAAGGTCACAAAACATGTCTAAAAGAGGTGGTATTGCCAAGTTTCTAAAGGGCACGAACAGTTCTTGGCCTCACACCAGTGAATGAAAAAAATCATTTCACGGAGAGGGAGGAGGAAAGGAACAAATACTTAATCACTATTCATTAGTCTATTCCAGTGGCTCATAGACCACAAAGCTGGACCCAGAATGGATATAAAATCTGAGGAGCCAAGGAGGGAAAGGCTCACCCTGGCAGCTGTGGGACACAGTTTATCCCATCCCAAGATGAAGCTGCAGCTGCTGTGTCTGGGGCTGATCCTGTTGTGCACCCAAGGGGAAGGAAATAATGTCGTGACAAACAACATTGATCCGAAAAAGGTAGAGTCATGGAGCATGGCAACTGGGACTTTGAGGGGTGATTGGAGAGTCTGAAGCCAGGTGGGTCCTAAGGGAGGGCAGGAGTTCTTAAAGAGAGAAAAGGAGTGGTTTCAGACCTTGAAATAAGAGAAACTGTGCCATATTAAAACACAACAGTGCTTGGGACTTCCATGTCACTGCAGGGATGTGGGGAAGGGTCCCAATGTTATACAAATTAACCCCAGTGCTAACTTGAACATCACACCACCATTATGAGTGCTGCCCATGGGCCAGAGTTCATGGGGAAGCTCTCAGTGTGGTACCTCCTTCCTGTCTTTTTACCTAATCATCTCACTTATTTATTGAAGATTTCAGGGAACTGGTATACTGTTCAACTGGCCTCCGACAAAAGGGAAACACTAGAGGAAGGTGGTAGCATGAGGGGTTTTCTGGAAAGCGTTGAACCCTTGGAGGACTCCGCCTTGTCCTTTAAATTCTGGACATAGTAAGTGTGACATTTTTTAGGTGTAAAAGACAAAATACAGGCCAAGGCATGACCTCAAACCTAGCCAGGTACATATTCACACACACCAACATGTGCACACATAGACAAGTGCATGCGTACACACACAGGTGCTGAGCCTCTATCCAGAGTCAGAGCCCCTCTTCTGATACTAACCGTGAGGATTAGTTAATGGACTTGAGGATTTTCCAGTGTAAGAGTAAAGAGCTGGTTACAGAAATAAATTTATTGGGTCCTGGAGAAAGCAGAGAACAGAAAGCTGCCATAGTCATGATTAATATCCCAACATAGCATAGGTTAACAGCATGGAGTTCAGATCCATCTGCCTTAAACTGAATCTTTCTTCTACAAGTTTGCCAAGGAGCCTCATCACTATGTATCATCACTTTTCCTTCGGTAATAGGCAATGATAACAATTCTCCTTTGTGGTTTTCAGTGAGCAGCATGCCAGGCATTGCATGTAAAGCATTTATTTTGAGAACCTGGCAAATGGTGAGCGCTCAGCTAATGGCCCAGTCAGTGAGGCGAGCCTTTTAGAGATGAGTGCCCCAACTGCAACCTAAAACCTTGTATTCATTGCAAAGTACAAACCCTGCATTAAACCTGATGGCTGAGGTTTTAGTTTAGAGAAAGCAACTCATACATAAACATCTGAGTCTAAGACAAACAACGTTTGTGCCACCGTTTTGCTATCAGTGACCTAGAAAAATGGCTACAGTAGAGAGTAAGTAACCGAGGGGAGAACTGGTGGAAGTAATCATGGGAAGCGGCTGTTGACGTTGTTGTTAAAGTGTCAAATTGGGTGAAATAACTGTAAATAAAAGCTATTTTTTAATTGTGCAAATAAATTTTAAAGTCGTGCATGCTAGTTTATGCCTGTACACCTAGCATTTAGGAGGCTGAGGCAAGAGAATTGCTGCAAATGTGAGGCCAACCTAATCATACAGTGAGTTCAAGGCCAGCCTGAATTACATAGCAAGACTCTGTCTCAGGACAACAACAACAACAACCACAACCACAACCACAACCACAACCACAACCACAACCACCACAACAACAACTTTTTAAAGCTGAGTAGAATCATAAACTGAATTTATAGCTGAAATACAGGGGCAGGGAGCCAGCTTCAGTGATACCTCCTGGGCATCCATTCATCCTCTTTTACAGTGCAAATGGAGAATGTCAGGATGAGGTTTTGATTGCAGACAAAAGAGGTGATGGTGAATATACTTTTGAGTGTAAGTATAATAAGAATATATTCTAAAAATTGTATACCCACCTGCCAAGTACTTCTTAAACCTCACTATTTTCTGGTTTTTGCTTAATTCTTGATTAATATTTATTTTGGTAATCAAATGGGAGTCGTTTCATAACTGATACCCTGAATTTGAGAGACATTCAAAAGGATGCTAGTTGGTCATAGGTACCTTATGTATCAAAAGGAAAAAGCAGAAACAAACAAAGAAAGCAAACTGCTGAGACAGGTTCTCATTTCCTGTCATTTCATCTGGGCACATTGCTCAGGAAGTGGCACCCTATATGTAAGGCCAGGGAACTTTTAACAGAGCACAGAGATGCATCACGGAGGCTGAGGGTGGTGGTTTGGTCTCACAGAGGATGAGAGGAGGTGGGTTGCTGCTGTTGGGTTTTTCTGTACTAGTGGTCAGTCTCTCAGGATCCCCTTTCTTAGATGTCACCTCATGAAGTCCGGGGAATGCAAATGGAAGGCATTTGATGCCTTTACTCATCTCTCTCAGAATATGCATTTGAATTTGTTTTGTGGGATGGAACAGGTAAAAGGTTTCTATTGCTTCCCATGGAAAAGTTCTGAGCTGAATTCTGTTTCCTCTGTAGATGATGGAACCAATACAGTTCGTATAGCTGAGACAGACTATGATAGCTATATGATACTTTATATGAAGAATTTCAAGAATGGGGAAAAACTTCAACTGCTGGAACTTGACGGTATGGTACATTTCTGCTCATACTCATCCTATTTGGGCAGAAAAGCAAAGACAGAAGCCCTACATCCAAAATGGTCTTTGCAGTCTTACCCTGGACTGTCTCTTTCTCACTGAAGTCAGATGCTTACCTTTGGAAATCCCTCATACTCGGTGATGGGAAGATGATGAAATCTCTCTCTGATCCCCTACTGGTGTCAAATTCAGGGCAGGTTGTATCCTACCCCCGAGACTTCTGTCTGGGCACCCAACTATTACTATGCTTCCTCTACTCTGCTGGAACCCTCCTCTTCATTCACTTTGATGACTAATACACAAGACAGGGCAGTCACTCTCACTCTTCTCACAGGCCGAGAACCAGATGTGAGTGCAGAAGTCAAGAAAAGGTTTGAACACTTAAGTAAAAAATATGGAATAGATAAGGAAAACATTATAGACCTGACCAAAGCTGGTAAGTTCAGCTCTCTGGCTTTCTTTTCCTGTATGCCATGTCACAGAAGGGAGAGAGCCAGGGGAGGGAAATCAGTGCCCTGTGTCCCCACTTGAAGACTCATTTGGTTTCTCTTGGATAAAGAACCTGGAGCTGCTGTCTGAGTGTGTTTTCTTCTGCCTCTGCAGATCGCTGTCTCCAGGCCAGAGGTGAAAAGTAACCTAAGCCTCCAGGTTGGTGACCTCTGACCCTGGTGAGGAGGGGATGGACCAGGTGTCAGGGCCTTCCAAGTGCAGTGGGGGTTTGTGCCCAACAGAAATAATTTGGTAAAGAAACTTTGAGGTAGAGTTTGAAGGACTGGATTCAAGACTATTGCTACCATGATGTGTACATTAGAGTTATTGTAATGTATAGGAAAATGTCTCAGAGATGGATAACATGTTTAAAATCATTATGACTCAGTGTGAAACACAGAGAGAGGAATAGAACACTGCACATGAAACTCAGACATAAATGTATGTGAATCTGTGTTGTGGATCAATTTCCAAGCCCAGGGTGTGGTATGTCTCTGTTAACTGATGATAAAATGTCTTCCTTTGAACTCTGCACACCCATGATTTCTCATCTGGGAATGGAGCTGTCGACCTTCTCTTTGTGCTCTGAGCTTCCTCATCTGTCTCTTACATCTGAGTTTTCACGGGACTTCATTCAGAGAATGTATATGAAAGCCTTAGCAACTTTCATAAAATAAGTATTTAATAAAAGTATCTATGGCTTTTGTCATCGTTCCTCAGTTTGTCAAACATTCTTCAAAAACTTCTTATGCTAAGATGATAGAAACAATCCGAGGACTCTTCATTACTTCCTTTCTATTTAACACAGATTCAGTTTAGGGGTTCAGATGACATTAGTAACAGAAGAAAAGTGACTTACTACTTCCTCTATTCTGATAAGTAAGATGGGTTAGAGTGCAAGATGAGATTGTTACCATTTTCCTTTGTATCCAAATTTCTCCTGTTCTCAATTCAATCCCAGAAGGGTTCACTGTGGTTTTTGTGCTCTCTTTGTCCCCTGCTTCTTTAGTGCTGAATGAGTGCTTTCCTGCCTGGACTCCGCATCGTCTCATCTTAGTTCTGTGTGACCTCATGACAGGTTAATGTCCTGTGAAGCATCATGCTCACTTATGGAGGTGTCGTCTCTGAATCTCTAGCTCTTCCCTAATCACCTGGGAAGGTTTATCAACTCATCCACAAGCAAAGTGTTTCTCTAGATTTCTTTTGATTGCCATAGCTATGGTAACTGTATATGAATCAGACCTTCTCTGCTTGTTCAATAAATGATTAGCCTTGCAGTGCTGTGATTTGTCTTTGAATTTGGGAGAAGGTGGGGCCGACAGTGAGTGAATAAAGGCTTTTTCTGGGCCTATACTTATAATCCTCCTCTGGTATCTTAAGAATCTATTCTGGGGGCTGAGGATTTAGCTCAGTGGCATAAGTGCCTGTCTTGCAAGCAGGCAGTCGCGAGTTTGATCCCTGGTACCGATAAAAAAGAAAAAGACAAAAAAAAAAATTAAAAAAAAAGAGAATTTATTCTGAGTTTCAGGCATCTCTTCCTCTTCAGTAATTCTCTGTTATTCCATGTTCCCCAAAGTCTCACATGTCTTTTTTTTTTATTTTGAAGGAAGTAAAATAGAACAGAATGAGACAGAACAAAGCCATTTGAGACAATGCAGTGAAATTGGCACAGAACCCTACAGCAGGCTATCAGGACAATAGCAGTAGGTACCGTAATAAATCTTTCATCCTCACAATAGTTATGCTTTCAATCAGGCATAGCAAAATCAAACCAAATACAGAACATCATAAAACCCATCAAAACAGAATATTGAATAGAGCAATACAATTAATCAGAACAAAGCAAAAAAGTGGTAACAATATTAGCTTTCAAAGAGATGGTAGAAGGAAATTCATCCTATTTGTTATAATGCATACAGTCATCCTCCCAAGAGATGCTCAGACCTCTGGATCCCATTTGTTAACGGGGTGTGCGTGTGGGGGAATGCGATGTTTGAGTCTCAGCCTGTGCTCAGGTAGGCTCACAGCTGCTTACAAGAGAGGTGAGCAGGTTGCTTTGTTGAGCAGCACCCTAAGTTCCAACATGGCGGGATCTTGGGGAATGTTGGCTGGTTCTCTCCCAGGGATACCTGCCACTCGTTCGAGCCACGGCTGCTTACCAGGGAGGAAAGCTGCCCCACATTTCCTTTGATCTGCTTATTCTTCAGGGACCTGATGAGGCCACTGCATATCCCATAGGAACACAAGACTTGCTCCGTAATTTCTGCTCCCTAGTAAGCTCTGTTCCTTGGGGCACTGAGAGACAGATCTGCTGAGGCTGATGCCACACTGACGTGGTTCAGGACAGGTCTCCTGTGAAAAAGAGAATAAAGGCTAATAAAAGAAGATTATCTAGTTATTTGAAGCTACCTATATCTCACTCTGCCCAGATCAGAGCACCAACCTAGTTCAAGATTATCACTCCTGAGTCATATACTTGAACTAGTTTGCCAAAATGTGACAAAAATTTAGGTAGAAAGTGAAGAGGCATGCTAGAAATTTGCTTTCTTTTTTCTTCTTTTTCTCCCTTAAATGAGATATTATTATGCTGTCCAAGCTAGTTTCAAAACCTTAGGCACATTGCCATCCCTCACATGCTCCTTAGACACAGGGACTACAGGTCATGACTCCATATTTGGTACCTATATGCACTTGCGTGCATGTATGTATGTATGTGTGTTTGCGTGTGTGTGACAGAGGATTGAACTCAAAACTGTTACAATGAGCTACATTCCCAGACCTTTTTTATTTTTTAATTTGAGATTGGTTCTCACTAAGCCACTAAATTGTCCAGGCTGGCCTTGAACTTTGGATCCTCCTGCCTTAGCCTCCCAGAGTGCTGAGATTATGGCTGTACATTTTCAGCTTGCCTCCTCATTTTTCAATTTGGCATTGTAGGGATTGAAAAAGCTGCTATCCAGAGGCACTCAGCCTTGGCTATCCATGGGAATACTTAAAAAACAATTGAAAATAACAATCAAGAAGTTATGAAATGTTTGAGTAGTATCATAGGTCAGAGAATAACATCCTAGAAAAAGCACAAAAAGACACACGCCCATTCCCAGATCAAGATGGCAGTTTGCCTCACATGGGCACCTATATCTCCAGTTTTAAATATTGTGCAAATGTGACATAAAATGCTGAGAACATGCAAAGGTGAGGCTTTAAACTGGACATAAGCAACACACTCTATTGTCGCTGTCTCTCATCACCCACAAGTGGGACCAATTAATTGCAGGAAAAGATCTCAGGGCTTCCTCTGATTCTGATTCTGCATGATGGTGAGCTGTGTAACTATTTCATTGTATGTTACAATGCAGTAAAAATACAAATAAAGTATACAGCAAATTAATGTGCTTGAATTGTGTCTAAAGCTCCTCCATCCTCCAATCTGTGGAAAATTCTCTGCCATGAAGCTGGTGTCTGGGGCCACAAAGGTTGCAGATGGATTCTCTACAAGTTCTACGCTATTTCTGACACACATGGCTCCAGCTGGTAATTGTTTTTCTTAGTTGCCATATAGATGTGCTCCATGCATGGGCAGCATCCATGCTGGCTAATTCACAAATGCAAGGCTTGGCTTGATGCTCTGTACCAGATAAGGGCTAGAATGCAGAATGACTTTGGAGATTAGGACATGAACAACTGGGTGGTTGGGATGGCAATTTAATGTAGTCCTTTGGAAGAACAGATTTAATAGTGAAGGAGCAATATCTCAGTTTTCCACATTTCATTAGTTTATCTAGGTAGACTGGTTAAAAAAAAAGATGTGATCATAATCTGGTATGGTCTAATGAAGATAGAATTAATTTCTCCGTTCCACAAACAGTCTCAAGTGACTGTTCCCTGTGATCATTCAGAACAAGTTCTTTCTACCTACTGTCCCTGGGAACAATACCCTCACCTGCAAAGTTAATGATGAGTAAAAAGAGCCATGGCAGACGTGTCTTTGGTCCACTCTACCCTCATCCCTGGGTCTGGGAAGTTCTTTAGTCATTTTCCTCCCTGGCCATTACCCACTCCCTGCTTTTGCAACCTTGGAGAGATTACCTTGAGGATTAAGGAGTCACATGATTTCGCTCCAGCCAGGCATGTTTCTTTTGCCAATACAAATTCCTCAAGAACTTCCTAGTCTTCTATTGTATTTGGCTCTTGGATTCTCCATGCACACATAACCATCTTCTCAACATCCTTGGCAGAGATGGATTTAACCCTATAAATTCTGGTGTTCTCTAGATTAACCTCTATGACCTACCCATCTCATCCTTCCCCCTTAATTTAAAGGTGGCTTCTGGGAGGCCCTGTGAGATAACACGTTCCAGGGAGGTAGAGCCTCAACCCCTTCTTTCCCAGTAGGCTCCCAGACTTCATGGCAGCAACATTACCTTTTACTAAGCCCAGATGCCCACTGCCCCACTTTGCGTACAGAGCAGTGACTCTGAACTTGGTGTGAGGCTGAGGCAGCATGGGCCCCTTTTGTAAAGCTCACGGCTCTCTCTTCTCACAGCTTGGTAGATTTGCATGCCCACCCCTCCTCTTGTAAGTTTTGCTGAAAGCACTAAGTAGTTCCCTTCACTATACCATTATTTCACTACCCCGAATCTGTTTTGTCTGCTGCTCCAGGTCTATATTCTTTGTCAGACAGCAGTTTGTCTTCCAAGGCACAACAGCAATTTCTTTACCAACCGTTTTAGCAGCACACAGGAAGAGGTGTCAGGCTGTGAGAGCTGGGTTCCCGATACCCAGTGACTACCTTCCTCCAGTTAACTGGTCACATAGTTCAAGTTCTGTTAATCGTCTCAACTGCGGGTCTCCACCAAATTGCACATAGTTTGTTCTAACCTTGGCTAAGAAAAAGCTAGACACTGAGCTTTAAATGAGGATTTAGGTGAGAAGAAGACCACTAAAATATGGAGCAATTTTTATTTATAAAGATAAAACCTGGAGATTTTTTTGACTAGTTTCCTTAAAGATATTAATAACATGAATCTCTACCAAAGCTAGAGTCAGCGCTTCCTCAGCTTCCTTACTTTTGCCCTGTTAATGTAACAGCATTATTGCTAGTTTACTTTACTTGAGTAGTTCCATGACACAGGGAAGTCTGGAC